GATCCAATGACGGTGGTCCCATAGCATTTTGACGCACCAAAAATAAAGCTCTAGTTACGGAGTCCATTTTAGGGTGCAAGAGTTTAATTTTTTCGAAATTGTTTCTTTGTCTGCACTGCCTTAGACATATCGGATTGGAACGAAACTTGGTGGGTGCCTTTTTAAAGTGCTTGAGAACATTCTGACTCATTATGGGTCAATTCTTGGACTATCGAGAATTCCATTGTATGTCAACGACTTCCTCTTTATTTAGCATCAGGGACCAAGGTGCTGAAAAATGTCTTCAAACAGCTTGCCCCACCGAATGTTGTGCTTAGGGACAAGCGAGAAGAACAACATTCAAAAATTTCCTTCGGCTTTATTTCTTTTTTCTTCCTAGCCACAAGACCACGTGAACGCCGAGGAGATCCATGCAACGTACAGGTCCATCCGTGGAGACTTTAGGGGGAGAAGAGACTTTTCTGATGGATCTTGTCGAAGTCCTCACCTTCAAGGGACTAATTGTGATTCTGACAGCTGGGGATTTTGTATGGACCTCGTTGATCAGAATCAAGCCCGTCTGGCGGTCGAGTGCCATGCTGAAGGGCATTTTTCCCATTTTGATTTGGTTTTGTTTATTTTGTTGTTGCAGCAGGGACTGTATTGAAATTCCATGAATTGTGAGGCAGGGGTAAAACAATCATTTTGCACTATTTTTAGAATTTATTTTAATTCAAAATAATTGTAATTATCATCAATTGAGATAGGCTTTGGACATCCACCCATGTTTAGGTCCAATTCTATAAATACATGCCAAACTTAATTGTAAAGGGCTTCCCTGGCTCTTCCCTTATTCCCCTTCAGACTTTCAATTGATCAATAAAGTTCAGCTGCAGTATAGGAATGTCGCTCTTACATATAAGGAAAAAAAGACGGTTGACCCTAAGCGTCGCTCTTGCATCTGAGGAAAAGAGAACGACTACCCCCAGCGTTGCTCTTGCATATGAGGAGAGGACGGTTACAGGCCAGAAATTGCTCTCATGTCAGAAGCATTGCTCTTGCATCTGAGGAGAAGAGGATGGTTACAGACTAAAAGTGGCTCTCACAATAGGATAAGGTGGAAGCGCTTTGATGGGGTATACCAGACATACGAAGCAGACTTCTCTAGCAAGAAACTGGCCTATGATAGAGAGCCTACCCTGTTCAGTGTGAGGCCCCTTCCACAGAACAACATAGACTTTACTGTTGTGCTGGAGGACTTAGCTTCCAATAGGCATCATAAACACGGCAAGCAATACCCTTTGCTTACCCAAGTCATCGTTGTGTATGACAATCAGTGTGCGCAACTCTTCACGCAGCATAACCACAGTCAGAAGCAACTTACTACCATTCATGAAAGGATCGTCAAGTGAACAGCCACCGTCGCATGTGATAAACGCCGTATGCATCATGTCGTTGGCCATGCGTGACTGAGGCACTGATAATCGCCGCGTGAGGCTAGCGTCGCTTGTGTCTCTATAGCCCAGCGCCGATTGCGCTTCTTGAGGACTAACGTCGGCTGTGACTAAGAGGGGTAACACTGACTGTGTTGGACAAAGGGTGTAACGCCGGCTGTGTTCACTGGCGTCGCACGTGTTCGCTCCTGATGGTCACCTTTCACCTTCCCACGACCCTTCGTCTCCCCGACGAATCGAATCCGTGGCAACCTTTCGTCTCCCCGCAACTGTCCGGCTGCTTGCGGCTATTTACTTTCCCTGCGACCTTCGGTTGCCCACCGGGAAACCGTTTTCCCGCTCTCTAGAAACCAACTGTGACACCTGTTCCACTACTTCCCGATGCCAGAAAACACTTTTGCTCGCAGCTGCTACTCTTCCACTACTCCCCGGAGACGGAAAGCCATCGAGAAACAATCAGGAATCCACGGAATGCCCCGATGACCCTCACTTGCCTCTTTCCCACCTCTCCGATATCTCAAGAATTACTGTAGGAACCTTAATTTGCCTTGGCAACCTGCCTGTTGCTCAATTCCAACGGTGACAATCACTGTGACTATCCCTGTCTTCCCTTCTGGTGCTCTCTCCTCACAGTCGGAACCTTCTCCTACTCGCCAGACTGCTTGCAAACCCTCACCCGAGTACTTTGCTGACACCATAGTTCTTACTTGAAGTCCTTTCCTCTCTCTCACAGTTACTGTTTTACTTGAGATAAAAACAGTGAAAAATGGGGTTAATCCCCTTATATAGGAAAAGCTTCACCAACGTACCCCTCACAAAGCAAGAATACCTGACATCCCTGAAGGCCAATCAGCGATGGCCCAGACTGGGTCAGGCTTAGACTCAAGGCCCGAATAGAGGCCTACTGCCAACCATGCAATGCCGAGTAGCAACCTTCAGATGGGATGGACAAGGTCGGGTTCAGACCCAAGGCGAATAGAGGCTTACTACTGCCTATGCAACGTCGAGCATCAACCTTCAGAAGAGTCGGCCCAAAACATACATGATCTTCCGTGGATGATCTGGATCACACAAAGCATGCCGTCACGTTCACGTGGCAACAAATACAGCTCGATTTCGTGCCTGGACGAAGATTTCGCAACTTTTGAGTTTTGACCGGAATTTGAAATTTCAGCACCGAAATTTACTGTCACTTTATTGGCTTTGTGTGCGAAATCCGACCGTTCATCATGTACAGAGTTCGGACCAGAGATAGCCCTAGACCTTACGCACACAATGGAACTGGTCTCGCATCAATCTAACTGTGAGTGCCATGATTTGGCCGCTCGAGCGAGGCGTGTCGCTGTTGATATTCCTGCGACTTTCTTCACAGATCAGTAACTTCTCCCTAGCTTTTCTCCTTGTTCGGGCACCGTCCCGGGGCGTTCTATATATCGAAACGCTCATCTTGATGAAACAAACATGCTCACAAAATTTAAACGCAATCCGACTCAGGACGAATGAGATATGGACTCTGCCCAAGACTGTAAAAACAACCACATTTAATGGTGATTTGGTGTTGGGAGGGTGCACGAGAATAGTAGGCGGCCGACCCCTTTTTGGTCTTTTACCCTTAACTTTGTCTTGGAGTGCCCTATTAAGCCTAAACTTGACCGTGTCGGATCCAATGATGGTGGTCCCATAGCAATTTGATGCAATTTAATAAATTTCATTTTTTTTTCAAATAACTTGATAGAGCAAAATGGTGGACCATGATTTGTATAGTCGATCTCAATTAGTTGAGAAAAAACTCTACTGATGATTACAATAATTTTTATTTCAAATAACAAATAAAATTGGGCTAAAATTTTGAGTGCAGCCCCACTTGGATGCACCTGAAAAAAATATAATTCAAAATTAGAAAATGGTGAACTTCCCTAAGCAGCATATATATTGGTTATTTCAAATTTTTTGAATATTTTAGGTTTGAGACGTTGACAAATACACATGCCCAAAATTGCAAACCTCTCATATATAGAAAGTAATTAAAATTCAAATAATAACATACATTATCAACTGTTTGATCAAGATCAATCTGCTAGGAGGTGGACCAAAAATTATTAAATAAAATAGCTTTGGCATTTTTCTCACAAAATTATGCAATGAACTATCTTTACTTACACCTTATAATGTTAAACCATGAATACTATGGTTTAGATTTGAACCTATATGGCATGAGCACAATTTTCTTCTTCTTCTCCTTCTCCGTATCCTTCGGTTTCTTCTTCTTCTTATTGTTTTCTGGTTTTGTTTCAAAGAACCCCTATGTCCTGTTGGCTAACCCATCTGGATCGAGCACTGGGTCAGCGATAAGTGCTGCAACAAATCTAGCAACTGTAACTTTAGGCATCGAAACTGATGGCTCCATCATTACTCCATCAAGTGCTAACAGCGTAGTTGGGATCAAGCCCACTCTTGGCCTCACTAGTAGAGCTGGAGTTATTCTTATATCTCCTCGACAAGACAATGTTGGGTAAGCTTTCTGTACATAAATATGAGAAGCAATTATGCAGCACAAACCCCCAATATTCCTTTAAGAACAGCATGCTTCACTCACTATGATATATATACAGAATAGGATTATCACCACCGTTTGCTTCAATGATAGGGGGAGTAATATTGATCTTTTATTTTCTTTTTAGGAAATTGTTCTTATTTATATTGGTCTTTCTATTTGAACAATAATCGCGAAATTATGGCGGAACATTTTGCGATTCTATGTCATACCCACCATACAAAGTGCGTATGGCATAGTTTCCCTTTCATCAGTTATGTGTGCTATTGCAAGAATCATATAGGATTGATTACCTCCTTCCAATCCACTCAGTATATTCAGATTCAATAATTGTTATTTAGAATGCTACATATTGACTTTGAACAATGTCGTATACATTTTGGATTAACATGTAGAAAATGGCAGGCCAATTTGTCGAACTGTATTTGATGCAGTGTTTGTTTTGAATGAAATTGTTGGTTTTGATCAAAGGGACAAGAAAGCTACAATAGCAGCATCCAAGTTCATACCTGCTGGGGGTTACAAGCAATTTCTCAAGGCAGAGGGTCTTAGAGGGAAAAGATTGGGGATCCTGAGACGGCCTTTCTTCAATTTCTCAGGGACATCTGTGTCAGCACAGACGTTCGAAACCCATTTTAAAACATTAAGGTACTAATTAGAGAAGCCACTTGAAATTTATGATGTATTATGATCATTGAAACACTGAGAAAGGGTTAGAAGAGAAACTGAATATTTCAAAACTTGAGTATCGGTTTTGATATCGTTCAGAAGAAAAAATATCATGTAAGCCAACATTGTTATACTGTCATATAAGTCACTTTCAAACCTAGGGATCCGTTAGGCCCAAATTTTGCAAACACGTAGGCCTCATCTGAAATATCAAAATTTGTTAAAAATGAAAATAATTAACTATATAAATTTGCATAGTAAATAGAAGACAATGAGGCTCCCATTTGGTGTATAAGAGATCTAGGACTTCATCAACTTAAAACAATTTTTTTAAAAATTGTTTATTTTCATATCCAAGTTGTATTCAAAATTTGAACCATAAAAGATCCCTTTGGCTATGTTTTGGAGCTCAGCCTATACTATAGCTATAAGCCTTTTGGAGTGTAGAAGTTATTCCCTCGAACTAAATTTTCATAAGGATGTATTTTTCTTTGTTATCCTAACACTGCACGTATTTTATTTTGATTTTTGTCTTCTTTGATATAAAACTCATCTAAAAGATGAATATTGATTGCAAATACCACATATAAAGAAAATATGAGTTGCAGATAGTGTGAGAAAAAATAGATTGTAAAAAATCAAAATTCAAACACCATTGAAAGCTGAAGTTCCATTTTTCTTCTGTTTTTACTTGTTTCCTTTAAATTTCTTCTATCTTATGTTCTGTTAAAAAAAATTCCTTATAGTTTTCAAATTATTATGGGGAATTATCAAATTTTGACAATATGCTATGGAATAACCGCATCAGAAATATCTCAAATAGATTTATGATATGCTTTTGGTTGTGTCGCAGGCAAAAGGGAACCATTCTGGTATATAACATAGAAATATCAAATATTAATGTCATTTTGGATGTTCGAGAGAGCGGAGAAGGGTTGGCATTGCTCTATGAGTTCAAAAAGGCATTGAATGCTTACTTGTCTGAGCTACTGGTTTCTCCTGTTAGGACATTGGGAGATGTGATTGCTTTCAATTTAAAGCATTCAAAAGAGGTATCTCTTGCCCTCTCCCCCATCCCCTTCCCCTTCTCTACGTTAATTATAGAACTTGATGCTGTTCTATCCTCATTTAATCTCTTTTGAATGTTAGCCCTGGATAAAATTGACTTCTACTTGTATTTTAACATACTAGGGTGTTCACTCTTTTCTTTTAGCAGGCCGAAATCCATCAAATGGGTAAACGATTCCCTACCCATTTTCATTAATTCAAAAAGAATAAGAAAAATTAGAAGTATATTAGATCACTCTTTGATGGGCAGTAATTGTTGCATCAAAAAAAGAACCCAACAAGAGCCGTTTTGGTAGTATTTTGGTATATCGGGGTGTTGGGATAAGGCTCTGATGAACATGATGATATTACATCAGAGTGTTCACTCTTCTTCAATACATGTTCCATTTTTAGATCCTCCTTGTATGAAGGATGCCTCAAATTACCAAAAATAAATATCACAACCAATATTTTACTTTTTTGTTCATGATTTGCAGTAGACATGAATACACCTTTTCAGTTGGTTCAAACCCGAGCTTAAGCATGATCTAGCAGGAGTAATTCAATCCAAGAATAACTCTGAATTGTTAAGGACATTGTTAACCAAACTAGTGCGAAAGTATGTTCCTTCATCTGACTTAAACCTTCAAAGTGGATGGTTGGCTTGTTACAAAACTGTGTAAGTACACTATAATGGGTCAAAAAGTAATAGCGCAGGTTACATCCCTTGAACATACAATTGGAATTCCCAGTTAGGGGGAAAACATGAAATATGTTGGTTTGTTTTCTTGGAAATATGGAATAATATATTCTATTAAGAAAGATGATTTTGTATTATATCCATTATTTTCATATTCCTTTTAGCACTAGTCAAAAAATTAAAAAAATGGGGGAGTGAGGACTTCTATGTAAATACTGAATATTTTGGAAGCAGACCATAATTACTGCAACAGATAATGGGATGGACATAAATTTCCCTTAAAAAATACAAAATTTATAAAAATCCAAAAATATAATAATTTATTTGTAATATGTTTCTTTATGTTTTTATCATTTTGGTAAAATACTGAAGTGTTTTGGCCATGAATACTTATTTTTACATTTTCCCTTCTATTTAGATTATGTCTAAAATAACCCCGATCACAAAATTTACTCTTTTAAAATCGATTTTTTTTTTTTACTACTTTTTAAACCTCATTTAGATGTGTTTTCTTTAATTTTACTTTAAACATGTTTTAGAACTTTTTTGGATATTTTGGGATTCTTTTGTATTGTTTTATTTTTAACACTTTTTGCTTTGGCCGGACCCTGGCCAACTCGGGCCAAGTAACTTGGAATTCAGCCGAGTTAACCTGGGCTCGACCCATGGCTGACTTCCATCTCCAAGTCGTGGTTTTCCAGCACTAATCCTGATAAATGGTTATTTGGCACAGGAGAAGCTGAAAGAGTATGGACAAGACATATTCATACTGGCTGAGAGCTTAAACAGGTCAAACAGTAGCCAAGTGAAAAGGGCCATATCAAATCTCAAAGAGTTATCAAGAAATGGTATTGTGAACGTGATAAGGGAGAAGAAATTAGATGCTATTCTGGCTCCTGCTAATACTCCAGTCTATACCATATTAGCAATTGGAGGTTATCCTGGGATTACTGTGCCTGCTGGCTATGACGAGGAAGGTGTGCCATTTGGGATTTGTTTTGGTGGACTCAGGGGCTCAGAGCCCAAGTTGATTGAGATCGCCTATTCTTTTGAGCAAGCAACACACATTAGAAGGCCTCCATCCTTCAAGTCTTGATACAAATGGTTGTGTTTTGCACTTAATAGTACGACCCACTTTTATTTGATGATAAATACAATGCATCCTGATGATTGGTATTAATGCATCTAAATTGGTCACCTGTCTGAATATTAATTATGTGGCTGATTATTGGTATTAATGCATCTAAATTGGTCACCTGTCTGAATATTAATTATGTTGGGTTTTTTTTTTTTCCTTTGTTTTTGGAGTAGTTCATTGTTAGGAATAGAACTTGGGATGTAGCATTGCTTGATATCAACTAATAACCACTCAAGCCCAAGCCCAAGCCTAAGCCTATTCCCATTGTGCTTTTAATGTTTGAACACACACAAGAAAATGAGTTCAAGTGATATTTTGCTTCTTTTCTATCTATAAAATTTATGATACGAAAACCATACAAAGAGACCATTTACTTTTAGTACAAGGAAGTCATAATCGCTCTTATCCGTCAGATTTCTAGTCGGGTACTTGTAATGTGTTTTTGATTAAACTTAGAGTTATAAATAAAAAATTAAAAATTGTCAAACTTTGTGAGACACCCCAAAGTATCCAATTTGACATGTAATAGCCAGTAGCATTGTTGACGTCCTTGGACCAAAGATTACTGGCTCATTGTACACAATACCTTTATGATATGAATACTCTTAAGATACTTAACTGAATCTTTCTTTCGTGGTAGATCGATGATTACTTGAACTTTGTTAATCCAAATCCATTAATATTTCCCAGCGAATAGGTTCCATAAACACTTGGTTTTATCTTAGGATAATTTGATTGTTAGTATAGTGCACTAGTATTACTTTTATCCTATGGCATTATATACTATGAAATCATTTATTTTTTGTATAAGGTCACAGTCACGTTTAGCTATTGGATGTGAAATTCAATAGATTAAAGTATATCATAACATTTGAAAAATTTTATTTTAGACTTTGTGCCCAAATATCCTAAACTCTTAGATTTCAAATAGAACAATCAATAATATTTGTAACTTCCTTGTATCAAAAGTCAAATCATACATTTTGTCACTACAATGCACTATTTCAGGTAAACATTATGCAGGATGTCACTTTTAGTTTAATGATATAACATGAAGAAAATCTCAAACCAATGAATAACCAAAAAAAGTCATATGCTAAATATAAAAATATAAGGGAATCATCCTATTAGAGAAAATAACAAAACTCTACATAGCATTGTTTACGCTTGAAACTTGGGCGAGAAAGAACTTTGTTTCTTCCAGCTCAGTTGACGGGATACAAAATGAATAAAAATTAATAGAAAAGGCTCATGTCATATTATCAATGTTATCAAACTAACTTCGCTTTGGTCGAAGAGGTCGAAGCATTCAGATTTTAAGCATAAGCCGAAGCGAAGAAAGGATGGTGCCGTCACTTCGGTCAAATTCGGGCCACTTCAGGCAAGTCGGTTTGCTTTGGGTCTGCTTCGGCCGAACCTTCAGGCTGCTTCAGTCAAAAAAGAAATAGCTACATAAATATTTTTTTATTTTTTATTATTTATTTTTTATTTTTTTATTTTTATATATAAATATTTAATTTATTTATATACATTTTTTTAAAAAAAGTTCTAAGTCTTTCTCTAATCGGTCCAAATACCGAAATATTTCATTTTCTCACCAAACCAAAAAAACTCTAAAACGAATCTGATAACATTGCATATTACACATGACAAAACGTTGGCCTAACAACTTTCCATCATAGTCCGACCATACTAGCAAGACATTCGCCACATAACCAAGGAGAAGATTAGAGAAACTTTAGAAAACAAAAAAAAGGTTCTAAAAAGCGTTTGAAAAACAAAAAAAAAGACTGTTATGCAAACAAATGAAAGAAAATGAAAAGAGAAAAAGGAAAAGATGTGAGAGTACTTGATAAGCTGGGCACACAGGTCTAACACCAAAAGTTGAGGTTTAAATGGGGGCCATTGTTTTGATCGTATATGCCAGAGAAGATTGTGTTTGGAGTTGGAATAAGATTTAAAAGTACTATGGCCAAGGTACGCTGGTCTGAGCTCCACCTAATGGTAGGTTTTGTTTTTTTGTTTTTAAAAACAAGTAATATCATTTGGATAAGGGTCTTATAATCATAATAAGACTGAAATTAAAAACATTATGTTGTAACACCCAACACCTTCAACACCTATGCCTTCAGTCCATTCCTAAGTTTTAAGGATTTTGGTGAGTTTAAGGTCTTGGAAGAGTTGGGTCAAGGTTTACTAGAATTATAAGATATCTTAGAAGGTCTATAGTTAGGGTTATGGTTGCCTGGAAGGTTTGCCTAAAGGATTAGTGCAATTACGAAAATTGGCTTTTTAGGGCTAACTAATTAGCGTTTCCTAATGATGGGGATCCTATGGTAGTTTTAGATGTTACTTGAGACATATGGAGCACAGGATATGGTGCACCATGGGCTAATACTATGTCACTGGCACGATGCAAACCATAGTTACCAAAGTGCCTAACTAGGATGGCGCTCCCTCTCCAGAACCTAGCTCATGCGTTTTATGACCAGGATCTTGAACGGAACTCAATTTAAATTTTTCAGGAGCTGGCTCATATTAATAGGATTCTCTATCCCATGCACAAAGGATCTCGATCCCACTGTCCCATAGAACGCGTTCCTTAAATTGTTGAACTCGTTTCAGAATAAATTAGATCCTTACGTTCTCAAAACTTCATCCTTACATTCTCGGAACTTCCTAAAAGAAACTTTTTAAATAATATTAACTTTTAAAATAAAGTAATTATATTTTAACCCAAATTTTCATACAAGTGGAGTTCAACGATGGGAGCACAGACTAATCATGCATGGAACGCGATCCTTCTTTGAATGATGCTTTATCCTTTCCAAATAGGAACATGGTTAGTCATAGATGGGGGCGCTATTTGATGGAAGCGCAATCTTATTGAATATTGGAAAACGATTCCATTTGACATGGAACGCGTATCTGTTAACTAAAGATCTAGATTCCGATATATTGGGAACACACTATCTGTTCATACGAGATCTCGATACACTATGTTTACCCTCACCGAAACTCTCTTTCCGAACTTTGTAGCTTTGGCCAGCCGTCAATCTGATGCTCCCGTTCCCTAAAGCAGGAGTTGTTCCCGCTCTCTAAATTGGGAGTTGTTCCCGGCCTCGGTAACTATGGTTCAAACTAGGAAGGGAGTCCTTGGAAGGGAACAAAATTACGTTTTTGGTCTAGGATAGTTCTGGGGAAGTGATTAGGATTGACTGGCCCTATGGTTTAGGTTTACGGGCTCCAAGAAAGCCCTTTAGCCAATGTAGGATATCAAGCTGGTAATTGTGTTTTCTACTAAAGTCAACCGTAAACCAATAAATATATGAAAATTCCAGCCCAAGATATTAATACACAAAAGAAATTTCCAATTGAATCTAAAGGGATAAAATAAATAAATCGACTAGTTTTGAGCTGTTCAAAATAGGGAACAGAGCAGTTCGGAAGTCCAAAAATGGCAAAACTCGCTTCAATACGTAGAAAAAAAAAACGAAAAAGAGGGGGATATTCTTTTAGTGATAGTATACCCTATACCGCAATTATACATTGTGGCTTTCATTCTCACTGACACTTTTAAAAACTACTAACTAATTTAAAAAAGGTGGATTTCATTCAAATTGGCATCTTCAAAACCTACTAACTAATTTAAATCAGTAGGGGCCGTCTTCCCTATTGAATTACCAAAAAAAAAAAAAGCCTTAATAGAGAATCTTGTCTCAAACCATGGCCTACAACCTCTTTCAAGCTAAATATATGCATGCCATGGCAGTATAAGAATTCCACTCTCAAACCATGGCATAGAGCCGAGAGGAAGTCTTAGAGGAGGGAGAGGAGCTGAGTTCGTGGTGGTAGTACACCCCATATCTCAGTTGCACGTTGTGGCTTTTACTCGTAGCTTCAAAAACCACTAACTAATTCAAAAACAACCAGGGGCCTATTATTCCTACTTACATCCTTAAAAATAAAATAAATAGAATCTCATCGTCAAACCCTCAAATATAGGCTAGTGTTTGTGATCTAGCCATTCCTCCAATGGTCTATTGCAGATCAACAGTGAGAAACTCCCTCTCCAGTCCGATCTCCACCGTCCATCTACAAAGAAGGCCAGACCTGAAAATGACAGCACGTTGAACCACAGTAGGAGGACCATCCGCTAGTGTATAAAATATTGCAATATACACTGACGGTCCACAAACAATGGGTTCTTGCTCAAACCAGATTGCTCTGCCCCTCTTGCTTGTTATCTCTCCCTCTTTTGCCTTTGAGATCAAGGAAGCCACAGTGAACCAAATTCAAGAAGCCTTCAAGCGCAAGGAGCTGACATCAAGAGACCTTGTCGAGTTCTATCTCCGAGAAATTAACGCGCTCAATCTGCTTCTACGTGCAGTGCTTGAGGTGATCCCGGATGCGTTGGACCAGGCCGACAGGGCTGACAAAGAGATAGAGGCCACACATGGAGAGTGCGCCAAAGGGTTACATGGGATACCGGTGCTGTTAAAGGGTAAAATAGTGACACGAGACCTGCTCAAACACCACGGCTAGATCATTTGCGTTGCTTGGCTTGGTTCGGTGGTGCCACGAGATGCGGGCGTGGTCAGGAGGCTGAGGAGGGCGGGTGTTATCGTTCTGGGGAAGGTAAGCCCTAGTGAATGGGCACATTTTAGGACGTTTAAGGCCCCTAATGGGTGGAGTGTTCTTGGGGGTCAACCTAAGGTAACACATGGATCCTCTATTTAGAGCAAATGGTTTGGAAATCTCCTCACGCATTAGATTCGTTAGGATCATTAACCGTGAGTCCGATTGCCTTACCCAGTCAAGTCTTAAGCAAAAAATACATGCAATTTATGCTTTCTTTTAGGAGTAAGCTTTGTAAAAATACGCTTACACTAAAAAATTCAAATAAATATTTTATTTAAATAAAAAAATAAAGTCTTAAGCAAAAAATACATGCAATT